AAAAAACACATGACCACCCGAGAACACCGGCAGCCATATTCCGGTTATCACACATCGCTGATTTACCTATATTTTTTTTTTGTGAATAAATAATAATTTAAAACCCGTTATATTACTAATTAAGAGAGAGGATTTTTTAGTTTTAAAAAGTTTAAAATATAATGCTAATAAGTTATATGCACTAATAAAATCTTAATATTCCAACAAGTTCAGTAAAATATGATCAAACTTGAAAATAATCTCCAAAATATGCTTTAAAATGAAAAAGAATTGTTTATTTGGCGTATTTTCTGATCAATACATTTTTCACGCTCGTAGAGCTGCATAACGCCAATTAAATATTGTTAAATCCCGAAAAACCCATTCCTTATCAACAAATAACTGTACCAAAAAAATATCAAATGTTCAATTATTCAAGTAAAACAACAAAATAGAGCACAATTTTGAAAAAGAAAAATACTTTAGTTGCATATTATTTCTTTAAGAGGTAATGCATTCATATTAAAAAAACATTTTATTCCTGAAAGATATAGATACTAACACAATGTTCACAATTTATGCAAATATGCCCTAATATACGAAATACACTTTTTCCTGTGATATCTGTCACCGAAAAATCGACCACATTTTTTGCTGAGCTGTACAAAGCCAATAAATAAATTTAAAATCCTAAAAATCAACTCTATACTTATTTGGTCAATATAAAATCCTGTAATAAACTATGAAAATCGGTTATAGCTTATAGTTTATTTTTAATGACAATTAACTCAAACATTACATAAGAATTTTAGCACAATATTAAAATAGCCATTTTATACGTCTTAATAATAATTACCAAACGGTGTAACGCGAAAGTTTATAAATTCATGACATTTTTTGTACATTTTTTAATTTGTAAATTAAAATTTTTAAAATATAAGTATAGCATAAAAAATATTTTTAAATAAGTGTGTACAAAATGTTTATATAAAATCACATTGAATAATCATTAAAAAAATATTGTAAAACTACATTTCTAGCCCATATACATAACACATAATACTTAATAACATTACAATAAATAACAAGTACATTTTTAAAGACAATATTTTTTAGTTTTGACATTTTAGTTATACTGTTGTATGGGTTGTCGTAATGAACGTTTCACAATTGTCCAATATCCAAGGATGCTTCATGAAACTATCAAGAGATAAACGATTATTCGGTATTTTGACTAAAAGTTTTGAAATGAGCTTTCTGGAAATCTCACTCATATGACGTTTAAAACGGTACGATACGGCACAAATTTTTCTAAATGTTTCAGCCTGTTCTTTACTCTCAAAAGGGGGGCATCCACATAAAAACTCATAACATAATACTCCTAAACACCAATTGTCTACGTATTCATTATACGTTTCCGAGTCTACCATTTCTGGAGGCAAATAGTCAATGGTACCGCACATGGTATTACGACTCTTGGACGGAGCGTGGACAGACCATCCAAAATCTGCCAGCTTTACTACATGGTGGCTGAACAACAATATATTTTCAGGTTTGATATCCCTATGGATGACACTTTGTAAATGACAGTATTTTAATGCGTCAGCAACTTGACGTAAATAGTATGCTGCTCTTGGTTCATCAAATCGCTTGGTCGGTTGTGCTTGCAACACCTTAAACAGTTCACCTTCCTGAGCAAACTCCAGAACTAAAAAAATCTTTTTTTCATCCCAAAAATACGTTAGCATTTTGAGAATGTTGGGATGGTTTAAATGAGTTTGAATTTCAATCTCGCGTCTGACTTGGTGTTCCATATGGTCTTTAACTAGTTCTGATTTAATCGTCATTTTAACAGCGACCATGTACTTAGTTTTTTTTTTCACGTGCAAGATAAACACGGCCAAATTTTCCTCGACTTAAAGTTGTTCCTATTTCAAAATCGCTTGGAGACCATTGAAAATTAGCAGGACGATTGGAACAAATTTCTTCCATTTTTTTTTCAATTTCTTCAACTTCGCGTTTGGTTTGTTCTGCTATAGAGATTTTTGCGGTTCCTGCCATGGTCATACTTCCCTTAGAATAATATATCGTCAGGAACTTTTAAACTGAAATCATTAAAAATATTTATAATGTAATGCTTTATTGTTTACAACAAATAAAACTTTTGCCAATTATTATTAAAACTCAGAATGTCAAATACATTGTTATAATAGGTGATGTTTGTTGAACGTAACAACTAGTTTTAAAATTTTTGGGAATTCTCAGGTTATTTAAAAAAACTCCCTTCAAACAGATTTTCTTGTAAAAACAGTTTCAAGACGATAATAACTTCTCTTGTGTTTGTTCTGATTGCACCGCCATGATAAACTGACCTTGTAATTTCACAGAGTTTTTCGGTGTCCAAATTGTCCAAAAAACGTTTGAGTACCATACTCTCATTCTTCAGTTGTCATATTTTCAGTGTCCTGGTTCTGATGATTACAATTTTTAAAAAAAATGACTAGATAGATTTAAGAGTCTCAATTCTTAATCATCACATGGCAGTGAGCTGGAAGCTACAAATTTCAATTAAATAGTAATGATTATTTTGTTGATAACCACAGTTCTTTTCTGGTGTTATCAGACTACCTCACGTTAACCAGATTGATATCACGGCTGGAGGTAACTGGGTGCACGTGGGCCTATATACAATTGAAGTTTACACCGCAAAACGTCGCCCTTGTCGCCGCAAAAATTTAGCCAAACTTACCCATTTCTCAACCTATTAAAAATAAAACTTCGAAATTAAGTGTAAAATTTTAATATTATAATTCTGATATAATAATTATTAGTTACAAAATCTCAAGTCTTACAAAATATATAATAAAATAGAAATTATAATTCATACTTATTAATACTAATTATAATAACAGTAAAACAAGTTATATTAAATTCAAATTTCTCTCTTTACCACTGTTGGCAAACTTGTCTAATACCGTACCATTATTTATATCTATGTCTCGGTGAATGGATAAAAGTGACTAGATACTGGACTCAGAAGTTGTATTTCTTAAATATGTTTTAAATCTTCTAAGAGTCGAAAAGCTGCGTTCAGCCGTAGCGGTGGATACTGGAATTATAGCTAGTATTTTTAATAATTTAAATAATTTAGGGTACATTAAACGATCACAGGCTCTTAGAGCTTCTATAGCAGTTGCAGGTCTTAAGTTTTCTTCAATATTTTTCCATTTAGCCTACCAAATTTCATAGTATGCTTCTATAATGTCGTTTAGCCCAGGTAAATCACTTTTATAAAATTCGACATTTTTTTTTAAATTAGAAAATGGTTTTTTAACTAGAATATGAGGTAAGATAAATTGTAATGAAATTATAGTTTCATTATGAGGTAAAAATCTTTCATTTAATGCCATTATCAAATCGTACGGTATAAAAACAGTTTTTTTTGTAAAAATCTTCAATATTATTAAACGAGACATTGCTTCTATTTCTTTGACTGCTACAAGTTCGAGGCATTTTTGGTTTAACATTTAACTTAATAGCAATATCTCGGGTGTCTTTATAAATATCGTTAAATTTTAAAACAATCTTATGGTATTTAACACAAAAACTACTTAAAAAAAAGAAATTGCAGAATTTATATCCGAAATACATGTGATTGTGTACAATTGTTATTTATTAGCTTGATGGAGGACAATTATTAACTCGTGTTCTAGTTGTGTCGCAATCTTATTCCGAGTTGGGCTGCGAATTGATGGTTGGAGTACATGGTGTTTATAAAGTATTTATAGGTATGCTATATCTATAAGGTGCAGAGATCCCTTGAATAAATTTCTATGTTAAAAATGTTGTTATCTAAAATATCGAATGCCAATTGACGACGCACAGGATGGGATTAAAAATATGTTATTTATGTGGAGCGTATGATATTAACTAGGAATTATATATGTACGAGTATAACGTTAAAATAGAAAAAAAAACAGTTTAGATGCATTATAAACTCGTGAATATTACATGTAAAAGTATAAAGAAGAAATGTGGGAACTAATATTTTATGATACTTGAAGTTAAAATTACTAAACGTTAAGTTACTAGAATACGATTTAAAAAAAATGTATAAACTATAATAATATAATAGCTCAAGTACCTTGAGGAACATTTTTAGGACGATTCGAGTGTGTTTCAGACGGTACCTACTGACAATTTAAAATAAAGTTAATTATTATTGTTACTAAAACTATCGTTAAAATATTATGCAATTAAGATCAATGTTTACTGTATCTATTTTATTTTATAACCGGTCCGAGCTATTTTTATAGTCAATTTTTTTTTAATCCTTTCGAAAATCTTTTTTTGCTGGACCTACTTATGGAACGTTTTACGAATTCATCTGATGAAGTAATCTGACGTTAATTGGCGGAAATAGCTTTCTGTGTTAACACCTTGACTTTCGAGCCTAATAGTTCCTATGACCTATAGTTCAACTACAAAAATTTACTTCTGTGTGACAAGTAAACTAACCCTAAATTGTATTGAGAGTATACGCGCTAAGATATCGAGAATGGTTCATGTTTTTCTAACACTTTACTTACAGTCTTTCCAGCTTAATCAATAAAATGTTAAATATTTTTGGAGATGATAGCTTTGATAGGACCTTATCGGATGGTCAACTAATAAAAAAAGTACTCGTGGAAAAAATGAACAAAAAAAGACCCCTAGGAAGACCCAGGACCCGGTGGATCGATGTAGTTGCCAAGGATTTGAAAACCATAGACTAGAATGTGACATATGAGTCGACTTACAATAGAGAGAGATGGGGAGATCTGTTGAAGGCAGCAATGGTCCTTAATGGATCGGTAAGCTGAGAAGAAGATACAACTCGGGTATTACTTAAACATAAATTGAACCAGAAACGACATTAATGCAAGTACAACCAAAATACATTCAAAAACATTTAAAAACAAACCTTCTATTAATAAAAACTCATAATAAAACAACAAGGTTGAATAGTAAAATTCATCTTTTTAGTGATCCAATATTCTAAGATTTCCAGACACAATTTTGTTTTCGAGCGTAGCATTTGACGGGATGTCTATTCTGTCACCGTGATTGGCAATAATGATTACCGTTCCCTAGAAATAACACCACCATTAAAGGTTAAAACAAGTTCCAAACACACGTTATCAAAAGCATATAAATTCACAATTTATACTTTTAACGAAACATTGCGACCAAACGTAACATCACCGGACACGGTAAGGTGATCTAACTCCAGTATGTCGGGAATCGTAGCGAAACGAGACAGGAAATCTTTGACTTTGGCAAAATCTTTATCTCCGAGCTTCACCGACGGAGTAGTAGGGAACATCCGTAGTGGACTCATCGACAACGATCCGTTACGCATATGGTACAAGTTACTCATGACCAACAAAAGATCAGAAGTTTTTTTGACAGGCAAGAAACGGCTGCGAGGGACATTTATACCTAATGACAAACAATTAAAGTTATTAATAATTAAAGTAAATTTTTGTTTTAACAATTATTGTCATACCAAGTCCTCCACTGAATGATTTCATCGCGGCTCCTACGGCGGTTTCCAGCTGAATGATGTTCACATTGTTATCTAGAGTTTTGTTGTTGACTATGATTTCTAAATTTAACGATCCTTCGTTCAGAACTTGTTCAATGGCTCCGAGTTTGATCCATAAGTTGTTGGTATTGAAAAACTTAAACTTTTTCACCGATTTGAACTCTTCAAGATGCTCTTTGGGCACTTGGGCAATTTCCAAAAGTCGCAGCTTGTTTTCATATTGAATCAAAGTACCACCCTTGACATCGGCTTTCGTCTTGTTGGTTACTTCCATTACAAATTCCGGAGAATTTGCATCTTGACTTAGTAACATATTTAAGATGTTAAGGTCGACAGTTGCGCCCAAGTTATCAATGTTAGAAATAAAACAATAATCTCGGCCCTGAAATATTAATATAATAAATATTAGATACGACTAAATTTTCAAACATTAAATAAATGAAATAACAATTATTTATAAAAACTATTGCTTACGCTATTAATGAACTTCTGTAACAGTCCTGAATTTTTGAAGCTGTCGTAGAAATCACCGTGACCAGGTGGGTACCATCTAAAAAGATGAATATATATATTCACATATGAAATGTTTACACAATTATTTTTTAGAGCCCATGAAATTCTTTTTACTTTATTTTAAAATACTTACGCTTCAATATTTCCATCAATGTTGCAGTCTTTAGCAATTGGTAGAAGCGATTCTTTGGAAAATCTTGGGAAACAGCTTTGATTGAAAGTATAGATTTCTACTTGAAGTCCTTTGTATTTACGGATTATTTGTTCAGTGTCTTTGTCGGTGTTGAAAGAATTCATCAAAACCAATGGTACGTTGACATTGTATTTTTTGTTCAAATGCTGTATGGGAATAAAACGGTTAACAACTATTCCAATAACTATTTAACGTAAAACTCGTCTTACTTCGATTTGTTGTACTGTCAAGTCGAGGAAAGTAAGATCGTTTCTGACTTGAATAATGGATTTGGGACCACGGCAACCCATGGAAGTCCCAAGACCTCCATTGAGCTTAACAACAACGAGTTTATTCAATTTTTTATGAATGTCGTCAGGATCTGGCTTTGGTAATACATCATAGTCTCGTATCTAGAAAAAAATGTTAAATATAAACGGCGGGTAAATGTTAAATTCACAAGTAATAAAAGAAGGTTATAAACGAGTATATACATTTTGACCTACAATGACTATGCTTGCCATTGCAGGTAAATTGAAAAACAACAACTATGTCGGCAACAAAAGTAATAATAGAATATAGATGTTTGGTGATTCGGTGGCTCCAAAAATAGAATGGCCTCGAATCAAAAAGCACTGTACACCTAATAACTTCCTGGAGAGACTGGCCAAGACACATAAATTAATAACATTACTTGTTATTGTTGAAAAAATAAAACACAAAAATACAGATAAGAATAACAGCTCAGAAGGATCGGGACAAAGCCTTAAGTTAAATTGGACCCGAAGAGACGTTGGAATGGGATAAAGAAGAGCCGAAACAAAAAAGTTATTGCTCAAGTCAAATTACAATAAAATCATGATACCGGGGGCTGCTGGTACTAAATAAAGACATAAATACCAACAAGAAAAACACCAAGAACGATCAATATAGATTAAAGAATTTATTCGAAAGTACTAACATCTGTTAAGTGTTAAGTAGATAAAGAATTTGCGTTTTGTGAATACAACCCTTTTACTCTTTTTAATTTCGGGTATTTTTGGATTTGATTTAAAATCTAACAACTTCTTACATTTCTTAATTCTGGCATAACAATTAAGAGGTTCTTAATAGATGGTTTGGCATAATGTTTAAAGTAACTTAACGGCCAAGTCTTAACTAAAGTAATATAGCATGTTAAAAATTGAACATGAAATCATTTAATTTAAGTCCCCTCAATTTTTTCTCCAAATTTGTATTTAATATGATGGTCTTTACGATTCCTAAAACAATATACTTCCTTTTATCTAGTCCTCCCCGACAGACAGCAATAATTCTATTGTTGACTACACTTAAAAAGGTTGTGAAAAAAAATACTTATTAACGTCATTGAAAACAATCATTTCCGAAAAAAGGTAGTACAATTTAAAAAATACCTATTGAAATAGAAAAACTTCGAACACCAATGGAGGACGACATTTTAAACACTTATATAAGAGGGGGGAATCAAATTTTTATAATTTTAAAAATATGTTATTTATTTATTTGTATAAAAAAACATTTGAAATGACCAATACTTTTTTAGTTTTAGTAAAACCGTAACTTGAATTTGTACAACTTTTAACAGATTTCAATAATAGTATATTGTAAAAATTACATTTACTTTTTCTACACTAAAAGTAATTGCTCGAAGTAGCTGCCGAAATTCGTATACGCTATAGACTATTATTTTTGTGTTTAAGGGTTTATTTAAATATTTTATTATTTTATAATATGAAAGAAGCTAGTGAATTAAGTTTTATGATAATTTATTAAATATCAAGATGTAGGAAAATTCAATATACAAAATCTATTTTTTCCTTTGATGACAAATGAACGAAGAAGGTCCATAACATGCATAAGCATTAATCATTTAAATTAGTTTTCATTAACATATAATGTACATATCTATATGTTTTATAGTCATTTCAAATTTTTTAATCAGCATTTTAAAAACGTTTTATGACGTTGCCATAATTAGGACTAATGGGACACACTGTATATATTAGTATTATACATATAAACAAAAATACAACGTACCTAAAATGTACACGATGATGTGTACGAAATGAATAAAAACCGTATTAATATTATCTGACCCACTGATACGGTAGTCATCCGAGGTCAATATATACATTTTATCACAGAGTTATTACGTTATCGACGGGACTTCCAAAAAAAAAACACTAAACGGACGTTGATATACTCACTGCGTCTGCGGGTAATTTTTCAATGCGGTCCCAGTCGACCGACGGTCCAGATTCTTCCAGAAATCGTTGAAACAGCCGGGAAAATGCGGTAAACTGCGACTGAGCCAATTCCTTCTTGTCCTCGGGTACGGTTGCCAACAGCGATACGATTTCCTTGTCGAGTTGCACCAACGAATCCCTTTGGGTGACTTCTTTGAACTCGCGTAAGTCCGTTGAAGGCACTCTGCTATGCCCTTTTGTCTAAAACGATAAAAATAAAATTGAACGGTTAAAATTTGATTAAAAAAAAAAAAACAACCTAACCGTTACAGCATTCAAGTAATTTAATATTATACGAGTGTATTAGAATTTAGAAATAATTCCGACCACGAACTGGGCACAGGTTGACATCACTATTTGTATCTGTTGATTTAGTAAAATTACAATTTTTATTTTAGTAAGCAAAAATTACTATTTCCCATACATCGATCGATTGCACATTAACTACTGAATCGATTGAACACATCGTGAGAACTTTTTTGTTGGTATTTCAATTACCAATTTGATAGCTTGCGCGATCAGATCGGACGATTTCAACTAGATATGTTTACTAAAATAATTTATTGACATTCATAAACTGATATAAATCATTGATATTCTAAAATAAATGCTAAAATGTAAGATTACTTTCGGAAAAAACGAAAAAGAAAATATTAAACTTAAACTATTTCATTATATTTGAATTTCGTAATAGAATGGCAGAAGTCGCTTTTTCCAAAATTTTGGGGAAATTCAATTCACATATCAACTTTTGTCATCCTACCATAGATGTATTATTTCAATCATTTATATGAATTAATACATTTATGAATATTAACTATTTACTTGTATGACCTTAAGATATTGATTTTTTCTATAAATAATGCGAAAATATAAACTTCTTACCGTGAAATTATAGTGTTTAAACTCGTAACTACCAAATGCAAAATCACCGGCCATATCAATTTTGTTTAAAACACAAGCAAACAAATTAAAATCAAATAAAAACAAAGTGTTTATTACAATAAAATGTTTAAAATAAAACAACATCAACGCTTGGTTTTAGTGAATATTACACAATATTGCATTGCTAGGATACACGGACCCTAAAAAATGTCAAAACAATTTTTTTTAAGCCAATTGTAAAAATCAAGGGCAATAATCAACAATTTGTTGTTTTTAATTTAACAGTTCAACTACAAAGGATGTTTTAAGAACCAGATCCAGACCCCCTCCCTCCAAACACATTCTGACTTCTGTGCATCTTTATCATAGAGTATAGGCTCAAGTATACATTGTATACTAAGACAGGTTCTATTGTTCGCCAATAGGAAAGGAGAAAGAGGGTGTAAATTATGAACAGCTCTTTTTTTAAATTTTTTATTTTTTTTTTATTAAGGACGTTTATTAGAAAATTTACAATACAGATATATGTACAATAAGTAATTATGCGATGAGAAACAAAAAGAGACAATGACAGGGCAGTGAGGAGGAGGCTCACATTAGAGCCACCTTTACATAAGACATTTTAAATTAAGTTAATTTACATTAAGTAAGTCTCTTGACCAGTTTCGTTTGAGGCGTCGGTTTAGATTGCCCGGAAGAGTTTTTGAGTGTAGCTGAGTGACAAGTCGGTTTGGATGGCATTGCATTTTGTAATGTAGTCTTTGGTAGTAAATAGATGCAGTCTTTTTGACTGTTGCTATTTTGAGGTCTTCGTGAAGGGAGTTGTTGGTGACGTACCACGGGGCTTTGGTTACAATGCGGAGACAAATAGACTGGAACGCCTGAATTGTCCTTATGTTAGAGGTTTTTGCAGCACCCCAGAGCGCAATACCATATGACCATATTGGTAGGAGGAGGGATTTGTATAGAAGTAAACGGTAGGAAATGTTCTGGTTGGATTGAATGAGAGGTCTAATTAGATGAAGGCGAGTATTTAGCTGTTTCCGTTTACTTTTAAGATGGGGACCCCATGTGAGCCTCCTGTCGAATAACAAGCCCAAGTATTTCGCTTCCCTAGCATGTGGAATAATGGTGTTGTTGAAAGTTATGTCGGGACAGTCATTTTGACGAAGGGTGAACGTGATGTGGGTAGATTTCAGTTCATGAACAGCCCTTAAAAAAGAGTCTTTGCTTAAAACGTAGTTTATAGCCAAATAAATGTTCTCCCAAAACCCAATTTACTCTCTACAAGCCTGACGAGTACGTTTTACGTAAAAATTAGCTTATAATATTATAAATATAAAAATATACATTGTATTAATATCAAAACCAATTAATTCGTTCATTCGTGTCAATATAAGATAATAAGTCTACTTAATTAAAGGAACATTTTTTATTCTATATTGTTCATTCCGAGGAATTACAATAACGGTTTATGATACAGTTTAGTATATTTTTAACCGCGTCAAAGACCAAATTTTGAATTGTATTCCAAAATATTGATAACAAAAGTTATTGTCATGCCAGTTTGCCGACAACGGTTTGACGGGTTTTAAATAAAAATAGGTTAACCTTTTCGAGTATATTTATCATCAACATTTATTATAATGAAAATATTTTCATTACCGCTATTGACTTTTGATGACCGTAGTCAATTTCCAATCACGGCCAATATGTAATTTTCCTCTTTTTTGGGGGTTTTCCTTGATAAAAGAAAGTTATATGTTATGTTAGACCTGTTGTTACATAATATAACCGATAAATTGTAAGGTAATTACACCCCCCCCCCCCCCCAATCACTGGTAATAATGCCAATCATAAAGTCCGCTCAAATGAGACATTTAGGATGCTCTATGAGTACAATCACGATGTAGAGAAGATAAGGTGACGCCACTCCAACCAAATCAGTGGGTCAAAAAATTAAACCATTCGCCCGGAGGCCGACTTTTACATGGAGCTAATAGGGGTTTTTATATATTATTTTACGTTACTGTCATTTTTATTACTAAATAAAAATATATTACATGTAATTTTATTTTATTACAGGACTATAGATTATATATTATTTAAAAAACCACAATATTCGTATAAGTAGTCTAATTAAATGTACTATTTATTCTAATTTCTATTCCACAAAATACGTTTATAGTCGAACGATGACTATCCTTTTATAACAATATATGAAATTATTCTATACGATATATAATATAATAACACGTATTATGTACAAGAAAAAAGTTGTCCTCAACCCCTCCCTCCCCCCTCCTATATCGAATTTTAAGCACCAGAGAAGTTTTTTCAAATTGAGTTTATAGTCGTTGAAGGTCTAAAGAATAATTCGTTATAAAGAATAACGAAATTTCTGGACTTATAGTTCCGAAGATATTTTAATTCTTACTTAGGTAGCCGCAATTCCCCTTAACACTTAATAATTAAAATGTAATTATTAAATTATTATTTATTTTCTTCAAGTTCTAAATTACTTCAGAGAGTAACATTGTAACAGTTATATAATAAATACCTATAATATATTACTTAAAACACAATTTGTTTTGGCTCTGGGGGTTTAAACCCGACCCCCCCCCCTGTAATACACCACTGTACATAACAATACATTCTTTCCGATTATTTTAATTTACCCCCGAAAAATAAGCATCGCTTGTGTAAGGTGGATATTAATTACTTTAATAAACCCTTTAATCACTTTAATAATTAAGTATCTTCGAAAGCCCGACTACCGTGTAATTCAAGCCCAACCATACGTGCAATGCCTAGGGACGAAGTAGCGACATATATTTAGCGTTTATATTTTGTGTCTACATAATAAACCGCGGCATATATAATTATAAAATACTGTTGTTCTTATTCATTTTTACAAATAACATTCATTGACTAATGTAGATCTTTTAGATTTATAATTTATTGGCAATATTTGCTCTACTATAGTTTTATTCTATTACTCTGATCTAGAATTTAGAAATTATGACCATGTATACTAATGACTAATTAGTATTGGAATACTACTTTATATTAGTAGAGTAACTAAAATAAAAAAATAAATAACTGTGCCGGACAAAGACTAGATCAGAATAAATTTAATTTAATTAATTATGAAAGCTATATTCTAGTGCTAATATTTACTTTAATGCCGTTAAAAAAACACAGTTTTTGCAATTAAAAAGTTAACAAAATAATTACTTATTACTAAATAAGACAATAAAAATAATAAAAACTCCAAATAAAGACTAATTAACATAAAAAAAAAAAAATAAAACGTTTATCGTCCATAAGCCGCATAGAAAATATCGGCCCTTGGGCGAATGGTGGCGCCACCTGTACAGCGAAGCTGAACTACCAAAATGCCTGAAGCATTCGACCCCAGATTTTTACTGATAAGAAGTTGAGTGGTGTCACCTTATCTTCTCTACATCGTGGGTACAATAAATGATATTCATATTTTTTTATTTTATAATTATTATAACGTTTTTATGAACTCACAATCTTGTTTCAAATAGAACACAGCAACACAGCATAATACGTGTACCAGGGTCCTAGCAACCGCTAGAGTAGCTCGCACACTATTTAGTAATGATAGATCAGCACGGCGATGAACACATGCGTGTTGGTGCCGGCGGAAATGAACACGTGTATTTTCTAGTACCCTAGTACTCATATTTTTTGTTCAATAAATAATTTCCATTACATCTTTACATAAAATCGTAACACGAATTTCAGAATGACCCCCAGCCCAAAAACATATCCATGTTAAAACGCTATGGAAAAAAATGCAATTATTAATTTAACCCAATGAGATATTGAGTGGTTCATTATCACCTTGTATACCTACATCCTGTGTGGTATCGCCTCGCGCTGGCGGTCGGCATGTTCATTTGACAACAAAAAGCAGATCTCATAACTCTTGAGCAGATCTCTTGTCCCGGCGATCAGTACCGACGGTTGACGACGAGACACGAGGTTGTGTTTACCGAGTCAGGCGTCTTTGCATTTCGGTCCAGCCATCCGCCATTGTCATCAATCAGTTTTTTTGCGTTCGCTGTGTCGCCGTGGCCCTCAAGTCGACCAAAAGTAAAATACTTTGATGTTTTTATTATCAAAAATCGTTAATACCGTTTTTTACAATTATTGATATTACTACGAAAATTTATCTTAAAAAGACCTTTCTTGAGCGAAAAAGAACCGTTGCGGATGTCAGCAGCTGTTGACGGTGGTTCGGCAACGGTCGGCCATGTGCATTTTGCTGTGTAAAAGTGATCATTTTTGTTACTGCACATAATTCAACCGTATGGAGTGTGTTCGAAATATAAAATTAATTGTCGTCGATGAAAACAAAAAAGTGGGCAGTATTCGAGTCTTATGGACGCCATATCAAGAATACGCGCTTTTTAAATAGATATGGTGTATGTTGATTTAGCTACGGCTAAAATTTAGCGGGCAGTACTCTTGTAATATAGACTTAATGTCATATCAAGAATAAGCGCTAAAAAAAAATTGTCTTCGACTCATGACACAAATGTCAATAAAAAAGATTTATCCTAACTTTTGTGTTGTTACTGGTTCGTTATGGGCATTATATTGTAATAACGCATGTATAAAATTCGTTGCACTGTATGAAATTGAAATGTTGAAAAAAAAGTGCTATATAATATTATCTTATATTTATCTATTGTACATAATGTTATCTAATATTTAATTACAGTCTTAGCCATGTTTGTTTTTATTTAAAAATAATTGATGTCATAATTTAGAATAATTGAAATCGTATAAATGTAAATAGTATAATAACTACAGTTGTGATTACTTCTATATATATTTAATTTGAAACAAATTCAGTATTGATTAAGTAAAGAAATAATATTTTTTAGGTATTATAAAAATATTAAAGTATAATCATTAGAAATACTTATGCTACTATAGATTAAGATGTACATTTTAACATGATATACTATTTTGATTTTATAAGTATGATCTTAACATTCTTGGACCCAGTTAAATGG